TGACATAATTATCTTATAATTTTATTCATTTGCTCCATTTTTGCAGTCGGTGTAGGATGCCAGACGAGTATTAAAAACAGTGGATGATGCCATGGTTCGCCAGTCACAGCATGCATCTAATTAACGTACTTACCATGTTCCATTTTGGTCTAAGCTTCTATGTTCTATGTTCTATGTTTCTGAACCCGATAACGATTCTTCAATTGAGTGTTAACATTAAAAAAAACAACTCGAAGTGTTCAAAGTTTAAATGTCCTCGAATAAGTAACACACGCCTCTATGAACTTGATGATACAAACATATTCCAATTTCAAGCAAACCTAAAAAATTAGTAAGTTATGTTTATGGATAAAAAGTATAAAAATCAGCACCCAAATATCAGTGTCAGTAAGGGCTGGTTCACACTTTAACATAAGAATAAGCATAACCATAAACATAAGCATAAGAAACACAAGTGTTAAGTGAGTTTGCACAAAGCATAAGCATAAGCAAAAGGAATGGAAACTTTTCCATTTCTTATGCTTATACTTGTGAAATCCAAAGTGTGAACCGGGCGTAAATATAAGCATAAGCATAAGAATTGTAGTAGTACCATGTTTCTTATGCTCATGATTATGCTTATAAACCACCTAAGGTATCAACCAAAAGCATATTGTTACAGCCTACTGACATCCTACCGATGTCCTAAAGACACCATATTGGCATCTTTTTATGTTGTGCCAGCCAGACAACTTCAAAAGTGGCATATTTTTCTAGAGCTTTGTATCCTATCCTCCATATCTTAAATGGTGTAAGTTTAGTAAATGTTTGATTAGTCGCAACCAAAAGTCCAGCAAGCTGCTTTGAGGTCATCAAGCCTTGCAAACATAATTTGTATTAAAACGTAGAGTACAAACATTAAAAGCATGCAATACAATATTGCACTATTTAGCTCTAAATAAACAATAGAGTTAGCTTATTTTAGCACTATTTTAGTACTATTTAGATTGCACACTCTAATACCCCATTCACACCAAGGCTTAAACATGTTTTAAAGTGGTTTAACTAAACAGGTTTGAAAAACTATCTATGAACACTGCACAATATTTGGTGAAATAATGCGTGTTAGCTATCCTTTGTCTTGCTCTGATGATATTTTAGAAAGTTTCATTATATTGCAGTTTTCTAGTTTCTCAATTTTTTTCCTAATGAAAACATAGTTTAACTAAACACGTTTAGGTTTGAATGGGGTACAAGTGTTTGTACTCTAGTTTAATCGATGGACACGTAAGATGCAGGAAATAAACCCACTTGTCCGTTGGCGCTTCCTTTCCACCAGTCTTTGTTACTTGCATCTAAAACTATGACCTTGTCTCCCTTAGAAAAACCGACTTCTCCTTCTTCATCAGCTGCAAAGCCATACATAGCTGTGGCAACCTATATTATCATGAGCAAAAGAAAAGAAAAAAATCAGGAGTTTTTCCAGGGGGTGGGGGGGGGGGGGGGTTCACTACCCAGGATTTTCATTTTAGGAGGGGGTGCGCCCGGCCCTTTGCTTACAAACTCAAGCAGCAATAATGCAGTAGATGCCAGCTCATCTGGGGTAGGGTTGGGGGATGCGCTCCTCTCTTTGATCCACCCCTGATATGCTAAAAAAGGTCTGCAGATGATGGTTTTCATAGCAGCCTATGTATTCTTTGTTGAATTAGACAATACATTTGTCATTCCTCCATTACAAAAGGTAAATGTAATTTATTTTACTTTAATAATGCAAGGTGTTAATATAGAGTGCTCCAAAATGGGCCCTTTACCCCCTCCACCCAGACTATAACAGCGCTCCTTACGGGTATCTAAGGCTAAAGCTAGCTACACAGAACAGAGAGAAGTTGAAACAGGCGTGGTAATCCTGAGAATCAAACCGTGGACCTCTAGCTCTGAAGGCTAACATTTTATTTAAAATTAATTTAAAAATTTAGTCAACTTTACTACTCTGAGGTGGATGGAAAGCCTTACAGGTCTAGGACCCAATTGCAAGGCAACTGATAGAGCGAATTAGAATTTGGAAGTTGATTTTTGTGGAGGGAGGAAAATGGGAGAACCCGGAGAAAAACCCTCGAACACAGGAGAGAGCCAATTAAACGACTCAACCCACATACAACACCTAGCTTGGTGGGGCTCGAACCAGGATTGTGCTGAGAGGCGAATGAGGTTACTACTACACAAACGTGCTTCCCGCAAAGCTGTGCACTAAACAACTGTGCTATGCCTGCTTCTAACGAAACACCCTTTTCCAGCTCATACCTACCATTGAATCCTTGGCATCCCTTAGCAGTATGTTCTGTGTCCGACTCACAGAGTTAGTCTTGTGAAACTCTATTAACTTGTTGATTGAATCAAACTTTTTGTTCCACAGAAAATACTTTCTTTCTGCATCACGGAATATTTTAAAGTGCTGTACTTGACCTGCAAATCTGCAGGAAAAAAATTATGGGATGATTATAGTACATTCTACAAAATTACTGGATTCTGATTGGTGAAAAGGAATGCAATTAATTGTTTATTGTACTCAGTAGGAGTACCAAGTTGCAATGGAATCCTCATACTAAACTGTTGCCATAGAAACCATATAATAGACATTTGATATCTAAAGTATATTATAACCTACAAAACAGATTCATATAATGCTAACAACTAATCTTTTTATGGAGAGAATAAGAGAAAAATATCAAAATGCCCTTGGCTGGAAAGGAACCCACGTCTTCGGTATTCTAGTCCGATGTGTTAGCCACTACACTACAAGGACCAACCACCCTGGTAACGTAGCCGGCATATGAGATGTAGGGTACTCGTGAGGATCCCAGAGCGATATTTTTTCTCTATAGATAAGTTGAACACAGTAAATATGTACGCAAAGGGTAGACATAGTATAGTAGTAATAAATTATGCGTTCGGTGTGTGTATGCATTAAAATCAATTGTTTTTAGTTTTATGAAAATTGGTCAAAGCGAAAGATAAATGCCTTTGCTCTGAATTTTTTGTTGAGCGAAGTACGAAAAAAAAAAAAAATAGCACGACCTCCTCATGCAATTYGTAATTAATATGTACTTACTTGTGATGTTTCATAATTTCTTAAATTACATTTGCCTAAAAGGTTCATGCAATTACAAGAAATTTCAAAACATCACCTAGTGTACCTATCAATATCAAAATGCACTCAAGGATATGGGATTTCCTATACTTATTGACATTTACATTACTCAAATTGCCCTTTCATACACTTACAATAGTCCTTTTGAAAACTAGCTTTTATAATTATTATAGCTTTCTAATGTTGATCATATTGAACAACTGCACTTGGAGTTTTCAAACATTTATATAAAATCAGATAATATATATTTTTGAATTTAAACTATAAATRCAAATCAGTTATATTAAATCAGGTAATAATAAGTATATGTAATAGGACTCCATGCTGTCCAATTAAGAAATAATTGGACGAGGAAAATTCCGAGGACTGACAAAATTGCATGAGGCCATAGGCCGAGTCCAATTTGGCAGTCAGAGGAATTTTTCGAGTCTAATTATTTCTTGATTGGGGAGCATGAAATCCCATTACCTATTAATTATATAGCTGCCTAATTGATCCCATATCAACAAGACCTGTCCAATTAAGAAAATAATTGGACAGTTACCTATATTGGATTAATGAGAAGCTGTATAATTATAATAATAATTATAATGGGCAGTTCTTATATAGTGCATTTCATTAAACATCTCAATTCAATGCGCTTTACATTTTTTTCATGAACCAGTGGAGGACTTTACGGCCACATATTAAGGCGCCATGCAGCTTACGATCATGAGTGACTTATCAGTACATTAGTGTTATGCCTCTAATTTGGGATAGGCTGTTGAACAGGGAGACAATCCCCTACTCTTGCACAAATAATTCAACAGGTTCAACAGGATGGTAGGTAATGATTAAAAAAAATATAATAGCAAATGAAATCCTATATGTAAAACACAAGAATTTCCTCAACTCTTTACATAATATGGTGCAAATAAAAACTTTCACTTACTTGACAGAGAGCGAATATTCCCCTGGCAAATGAGAAAGGAAACAAAACAAATTAAATAAGGGACTGTGCCATCAATGTTTATGAACTAGACATTATTGGTTGGATTGCACGTAGCACATCAGACTAAACAACAAGACTAACAACAATGCACCCCACTCCCTTTCCCCCCNCCCCCCCCAAGGAATGTGCCCCCCTCCCTCCACAAGGAACGTGTTTGCTGGTTGACAGGACTGGCCTATTATGGAATCCACAGTAAAGTTGAAATGCTGGGGAAAACATGTCATTATCCCACTGCATTCACGAATTTCAACACATTCAACTGAAAATTCCTAAAGTTATGTGCAACTTGAAAAAGTCTTGAATTTCCCACCTCCCTTGTACTTCACAAATCTGTGAGCTAGCTTTCTTAGCACTTTATAATAAATATACATGGCTTCTATTTTGTTTGTTTGCTCTTTTATTAAACTCAGCTGCTTAAAGAAATATAGAAGTTATAAACTGAAAGTAAGTTTTGAAACATTATAATTTGTGAACAGTTGCAATTGTTTTAACTCAATACATTTTTTTCATACAAATATAACTAAAATATATGATATTGACTCTTTTGACTGATAAAACCTTTGTTTGTTCATATACATCATGCTAATGAAGAAAACAGTTATAAACAAGGAAATGCGAGAATACTAACCTGGATCACTTTCACTATCGCGTACGAGGAAAACTCCTTCTCCATTCTTCTCCATTAAAATGGATTCTGATTGCTTTCTAGTTATTTTACCATGAAACCAACTTCAAAAAACAACAGAAATGCAAATGATGTTGATATTGTATCTGCCATTATTGAATTTTGAACTATGACATGCATATATTAAACTTTAGCATAAAAAAAAATCTTCATAAATTTCTAGGTTAAATTTAAATTTGCTAAACTTTTTTTTAACTTATAGCTAATATTTTTTAAATATCTTAGATAATCACATATAAAAAAAGTTCCTTAAAGCTAAGATTAATTCAATGACGTCATTGCTGTACTAATTATAAATCATAAATCAATTTTTCATGACTTCGAACTTAAAACTAATAACTTTWAAAAAATAAAGTTTACGATGTGAACTCACTTAATTGTCATTATTCGTGAACTTTAAAGCTGTAGTAGGTTTGTATTTAAGATATCAAGGCGTGTAAAGCTTGTTTTGAAGTTTGCAAAGTAAGATTAGTTGAGCAAAAGCTTACTTGTGTGGTCTCATTTCAATGTACGTTTTAGGGACCCATCCTTGTTCGCCGTTTAGTTCAGCTTTAAACCAATTTTTATCCTGATCCATATCGAGGACCTACAAAAATATCATAAGGATACCTCAAGGGATTTATTCCGTGAACAGAAATTGCTAAAAATATCGATATTCTGAGGATTACAAAATATTTTCATATACTGTATAAAGACTTAAATCTTACATTAATAATAACCCCTTTGTCGAAGCCCAGATCGTCGTCCTGTGTTGCAGCAAATACATGCTTTGTTACTGCCTCCATTTTTCTTCTGTTGCCTTCAAATAACCCTAAATATTTCTCCAAGATTAACACTTATTGACAGATTCATGAATTGTCCGACAAGTCTGGACCAGAATCATCCTTCGTTGGGGAATACTTTAGCAATATAAACATTCTTATTTGAATTCCAAATCTGATCGGGCTGAAGTCGGGTTTTCTTCGGGTCATCTTATCAATACAATCGATGACCTAATAAGGTCTCTATAAATAAGGATGTTTTGTTCGATTATCTCGTTCGACTGGTTCCGGAAATCATTCGGCCATAAAATAATACATGAAAAGCCATGAAAACCATGAAAGCATGACAGTTATATGACTGGATTCTTTTTGTCGCTCTTTGACCGTCTGGATTATTACGTTTAGGACGGTCACACCAAATGAAAATAAATAATAATAATAATAAACATTAAAAAAATATATCAAAATTTTGAAAAGTTTCAAAAAAGATTTTCATGAATTATTTGAAGTTACGTTGAATTCTAAAAAATACTTTGAATCTACGTTAACTTTCCTTCCTTCCTTCATCCCTCCATCCCTCTTTTCTTTCCATTTATTCGTTTAGTTCCATTCCACTCATCGTTTCATTTCAGTTTTATGAGCGCACCTTTAGCGTGTTTAGACTAACAACTAGTCACAATTTCAATTCAATTTCAGTTTATTTACACTGTTTTTTTCAATTTTATATAATAGCATTACAAGAATATATTTATTTGAATAATATTTAGAATTTTTGATATAATCAACAATATAATAGGTGTAAGTGTACGACAGCCAAAGGAGCTAAGCTTTCTAGTTGGCTGTCGTAATTTTCATTTAGGGTCAAAATCAC